ATGTCAACACAGAAGTGCTGACTACTGGGCTGGTGATACCCTCGGGGAATAAAAACTCCACCAGCAGTACTAGTGGCATCGACCCTTCTATCACCTCGACCTTAAGAGACAGGATATCACAGAAAGTGAATCTGCCTCATACACAAATCAACATGATCAATGACGGTTGAGAACGAAAGTTTATGACAATAGGGATGAAATAAGCTACACAATTGTGAATTTTTGCAACATCCCAGCAGCGCCTGCATATAGAGTAAAAAGTAAAATAACAAAAAAACCGAACTATGAGGACAATTCAAAACGAACAATTCCTAATCAAATGACGAAATCAAATGCTCAAACACATCAAATGAATGGATAACAACTGTCATATTCCTGACTTGGTACAGGCATTTTCTTATGTAGAAAATGGTGGATTGATTCTGGTTTTAAAGCTAGCTTAACTCTCACTTTTATGACAGTCGCATAAAATTCCATTATATTGACAACGATGTGTGAACAAAAGTCTAAAATAGGGGTACAGCAGTCAACATTGTGTTATAATCTTAATCATTATGACAACAAACAAGTATGTCAACAATTAATTGTTTTTGGCATTTAACTAGCTGTCAGTAACTGCGAGTACTCTCATATCGTACTTTCTTGTTAATTTGGCCTGTTGATACTATTTGTATTGCTTTTTTGTTATTAAATGTTTACTTATTCAGGGTTATATCTGGTCTATATACCAGCTTTGATAAGTGTTTGGTATTACTATAAATTTTCACTTCTTCGTACTATGAATATCAAAATTATTTATTTTGTAATAATATTTCCTTTCTTCATTTAAACTGTATACCTAACAACTAAATTATTTTCATTAACCTGTGTATGATATTATTGTAAATGACGGATTTTTGTTCAAGGTTATTGTTGTTTTTCTGAAATTGTTTAACATTTCACAGCGGTATAATACTGTTACTTTAATTATTCATCCCTTATTTTATTGATTTTGTATTTACATTGTATCATAGATCAAATTTATTCGTTCAGTGTATGTTCACTTGTGTTAATATGTCTTTTGATTGAGTTAAACCATTTCAATTGATATTTTATAGTGTGTCTTTTTATATTGTGATGTTACACTATTGTTTCAGATAAGGGTGAAGGTTTGGTACCATTAAAACGTTTAAACCCGCTGCAATTGTTTGCACCTGTCCTAAGTCAGGAATCTGATGTTCAGTAGTTGTCGTTTGCTGATGTGGTTCATAAGTGTTTCTCGTTTCTCGTTTTTTATATAGATTAGACCGTTGGTTTTCCCGTTTGAAAGATTTATTCTAGTAATTTTTGGGACCCTTTATAGCTTGCTGTTTGATGTGAGCCAAGGCTCTGTGTTGAAGACCGTACTTTGACCTATAATGGTTTACTTTTATAAATTGTGACTTGGATGGAGAGTTGTCTCATTGGCACTCATATCACATCTTCTTATATCTATAAACAGTAAAAGCAATAATTAAAAATTCAAATAAAAGAATTCTATAACACGTTATTGTAAAATAAACAACATCAGCACCTAGAATCTATACTTCAAGACCATCGTGTATTATTTGCGAAGTTGATACTGAATATTTATCAACAAGGTCTTGGTATTTTCCGCTGAGCTTTTTAAGAAAAACGGCGAGACGTTCCGTGACATACCCCTGGTTCATCAACTTTCTGCTCGAGTACTATCCTACAATTGAAACGATATTACAGAATTTTCATAACATGATTTTCTTAGTAGAGGGTTGCTGCTTACATGGAAGCCATTTAACCAAGCGTTCCAAATGATAACGTTGAAGTCAATTTCTAGTTGTCTATGTACTGTTGTGTGGCCTTCTGTGTCTTTTCGTCGTTTTTTCTTAAATTCCCTTTTCTCTAACCGCATTAAAATGACTATGTGTGCAAAGAATAGTTCATAATATTGAATTTTAACGTAATATATATATATGTGTTCTGTGTGCTTGAATTTGACAATAAATAAACATTCAAAAACTTATCATATCAAACTAAAGGTATCAAACATAGTGCTTGACTAAACTATCAAACTTAACCCTTGAACTGACTGACGCCTTATTTATGTATAATTATATTTTGTTGTAATAGCACGATATAAAGTAAATAAAGAGTGTTCACCTTTAACATGTTAAACACTTTATAGACTTAATTAAATTTTATTTCATATTTTGAACTGTTTCATCGAATTCAATATAATTACAAAAAGGCTGTCATAGAGTATTGAAAACAAACTTTTGATGCTGATCGTAATAAATCCAGAAAAGTGAATCACAACTGCATACGCATTCAATGTTTAATGTTGGTTTCTTTAACCAATTTTGTTGAAAATGCAAACATCTTTATGTCGTATTTTGAAAATGTGTTTTATATCACATAGTAACCAAGCAAATTTACTCGGAATATTGCTGTTACGTTATAATTCTATGATTCTTAAAAAACAAATCCCAAAAAAAAAAAATTCCTGCAACAAATCGTACCGGTTAAGATTGATTTGAACTTTGTAAAACGTTTGAGAAACGATAAGACCTTAAGGACATTTGAATAGGGAAATGCAGTCGCCTTATATTGACACTTTACTTTAAAATCTTACAAACACACTTAATCACGAAAAAATTATACTGATCAATATTCTATGAAGAAGAAGTAAAGGCCAAATAAAATCTGCTGCTTTGTTTGCAAAGTATGCGGACACAGGATCTGTATTGTAATCAAATTGCCATAAAACATAATCAAATAAGAAGAAAAAATATCAATAACCAAATTAAATACTTTCGGCCTATCAAGAAAACTATTTAGAAACACACTTCGACTGCACTTCTTATTGTATCCCAATTCAAATTGGGTCTTTTTTGCCGACTATACGGTATGTTTTCTTTTTTCATTGTTAAAGACCGTACGGTTGTGTATTATTGCTTACAGACACTTTATATGAATTGTAGAGCATAGCTGTACAATAGGCAATCACACCTCGCAGAAGTCGCAGACTCGACAAAAATACTCAAAACATAAAAGGAAACGATACGTTGAGTTCGACATGCATGTACTGTTTAGACTTCTGTATTGAAGACACTTTTTTGTATCCCTCTGGGGAGAAGTTTCTATATGTCTTTGACTGACAGCATGTTTTCTTTAATAAAAATGTCTCTCATTAAGGAATGTTCAGGAGGAAATTCAATCTTATTCCAAGTTAAAATAGTAACTAGTTACGAGGAAATTTCGATTTAATGGAAAAGACAATGCTATGGCATCGGCGGTCCGTTTATGTCTGACGGAATCAATCTTACCGTAAGATCCAAGTGAGATATGTTTGAGCCGCAGACATGCAAGAACTTAAAAAGAAAATAGCGTAATAAAATCTATCATAATTACCATAAATTGTCCTCAAAAAAGGGTTTTGCTTTTTGCCTAATGGGAAGAAAATTACAATTTACTATTTTCGTCCGTTTTAGGTCCCCTAGATATGTCAAAAGCCTTTTCAAACCCAAAACAAAATATGCAGGAATATATATTAAAAATTAAAAGTATGGTTTATTTCGTGAACTGTTAATTTTCGCGTCAAACGATTTATTAAATTACTGAATTTTATTTTTTTTTTCAAATCATAGATAATTGTTCCCAACAAATATATTCATTGGTGAAGTTTATCAGGTAATTGAAAACAATATTTCAAATTGATACCAGACCTGAACATTGCATTGGCTCCCTAATAAACAGATTATATCTTCAGCTTTAAGTTGAAATGAATAAACAAATTGTTTTAGATGAAATGTCGATGTTATTTCCTTAATCAGGAGCCAAAATTATGTGTACACAAAATTAAAACAAAATTCAAAAGAATACATTCTAAAAAAATTACAACGCGTTTTATAGATAATTATATTTAAAAACATGCCGTGGACAACATTATAATGATCATTGCACAAAGCTTAGCGCATTTGCATGAACTTTGAACATGAATTCACTACAGTCATGACAGTAAGAATACGTGCAATTTCGAATAAAAAGTGATTAAAAAATTACCAATTAACATTTACAATGTATAAATGTATATACAAAAATAGAAAAAAAAAAATAGCAGTTTTACTAATAGTTAACTGATTTTAATGGATTAAAAGGTAAACTTGAACTTTATAAATGCATACACAAGTATAGTATGCTTAAAGAATCATTAAATATATTTATGCACAATCTATAGCTTTCTTGTGTCTGTATAAAGAGTAGTTTTATTTGTTAAAATGCTGTATAATATTACTATTGATACACTAAATTGACATTATCTAAATCTCTAATTTTGACATACAGTACACTCTTGTGTTATGATTACATGATTACATGATTGTGTTTATTCTAAAAGTTTGAGGCGTGAATAAATGTGACAAATAATACAAAATTCAAAGAAAAAATAATAAAGGTGTCATTAGACTAAACAATGTAGTTTTGTCGAGGCATTTCTGCGTTCTTGTTATAAAAAGTATGACTGGACATTGAGAAATGTTTTTCTTCTTCTCCTTAGTACTGTTTTCATACAGTTGGATGATCCTATATATGGTTGAAAACATGACATACGTTTATGAATATATAACAGAAGGAAAGAACATTTCTAATGAAAATTAAAAAAAACTGTTTCAATGAAAAGACTAAATTATTTGGGTGATAGAAAATGTTCATGATGTTAGAGTATTTGAAACTCCAATTTTCTGGTTTCTGTAAAGTGAAACATTCGAGATCTGTGGAAATTTCAGGGGAGACGTCATCCATGAAAATATTAGTAAACAAAGCGATGTGTACCAGGACTAGACAAAAAAGGCATCGAGAAAAACATAGTGAACACTAAGGTTATGAAAAAATTTTAAAACATGCTTATCAATAAAAAATAAATTCGTATTTTCCATACATTGTGTAAAAACAAACAGCGTACTTCATTAACACACCCCATTACCATTGGTATCTACAAATCCCCCCCCCCCCCCCCCCAAGCTGCCATTTTCACCGTGTAAAATCTTTCTTTTAATCTAAATGCTGATGAGCTATTTCAAATAAAGTTTGATCCAGACAGCAAGTTCTAATCTTCATCCTACAACAAATATAACCTCATAAGAAAATTGCTAAAATGTTGTCAAGCATTAGTTCAAGGAATTTTCAAATTTAACCCAAGTAGAAAATGCAAGCAATTACATTATATTTTTCCTACGCATTAACGTTCGTTTTGATGCAACGTCATTAACGATGTCTGGACAACACAGAGGACTGAACTAATCGGATGTATTGCACGTATAAAACTCAGCTACACAGTTAAGCTTATCAGCGACGCTCGAGTCGAACAGTTTCAATGACAATGCCAAAGCAAGTACAAGGAGCATTGAGGACCCAAAATTCCAAAAAGCTTTGTCAAGTACGATTAAGGTAATCTGTGCATGGGGTAGAAATCCTTAGTAGAATTATCGGTTTGTTTTATACAGGGAAATCACGTGAATACATTGCAAACAATGTAACTTTATTTACTTACTAATGAAATCCCGGCTTTAAGTATTCGAAATAAAGGTAGGTAATAAACGATGGATGTGAAAACGCATCATACTGTTGAGCATGCTTAGATAAGGTTTGATACCAGATTTGCAGCTCTTGAGACCAATGCAACAAAAATTTCATCTATGGCTATTATGTGTAGGAATACAGAAGTATTCGGTTAATAGGTAGTTAAGGGGCATGAAAACGCATCACACAGTAAAGCATGTTCACATGAAACTAGATACCAAAGTTAAGGAAACTGTTTCTGAGAAAAAATGCGTCAAACGTGGAGAAAAATTAAGAACTGATATTTTACTGGTCTAAGCAACAGAAATACACACGGGTTAAATTTCCAATTTTAAAGGTATTTTCCGGAAACTGGGTTTGTTTTTATTCAAGGTTTTGGTAAAAAGTAACTTCTAGTGAGATCTGATTTGTACATGTAAGGGGGTAAACATCAGTTATATCCCCAGCTACAAAAATCAAATGCAGTTTGAATCAATACCATTCGCCAGATTTCTTATTTCTATAATTGTCATGTAAAGCTTTGAGCTCTCAATCAAACAGAATAATGCAAGGAACTGATGACACCAAAACACGCTATTATCAAAGGACAATGCAACAAAAATACAAAAACTCGGTATGACCGGCAAACATTAAAAAAAAACGCTAAGCCAGCTGCTTTATCATGTTTATATGCAATATAATAATGAATTTGAAACGTATAAATACATTGGATTTTGTTTCCTTGCATAACACGTGCAGTTTAAATGATCTAAACAAAATTGTGTCACCCTGGAATCGGAGACTAGTACGTACGTTCTTAAAGATTTATTTAATAAATTATTCAACAGGGAACCAACTGCAACTGTACAGACATGTTAATAAATATAGCATGTTCCTACTGATTCAAATCGAAACCATTACTAGCACATCTTGTTTTGATACCAACATTTAATGGGAATGTTATCTTGTTTTTGTTAAAATTCTTAATTCGAATATGTAACTGTTTATTCGACCAATTTAGCTTGACATCATCCACAGCTTTCAAAATGCTTTTTGATACAAGATATCGAATCCTATCAAATATCTGAAAAGGAGTTATGCCAACAATAGGATCAAGTCAATATTATTCTATTTAGTCTTTATAATTCTAGACGGTATTATATAATATCAAGGATAATGGTTTTTATCAAGATTCATATTTTTGCACTTAATTATCTCTTTGCATTCTTTTTTCTCAGAAATTGATACGTAGGAAAATCCAACAAAACACCACCAATGTCACAAATATATCAATTCTATAGTAGTTTTATTCTTTTATGTTCTGTTTCAACTGCAAGCATATTCAACAAATACATACATCATTTTTAGCCATGGCGCTGTCAGTTTATTTTCGACTTATGAGTTTGAATAACCTTTTTGTATCATTCGATTCTTTTTTTGAAAATGTTAAAAAAAACTTTCAAGAACAAATGGTATGTCTGAATAGTATTAAAATGTATAAAAAAAGGTTGAAGCATATGCGTTCAAAAGAAGAGAAAGTAACCGTATTGCTTACCTTCATATACAACTGAGCATACCGCATCTGACATAATTGTTATTATGACTGCTCAGAATCTCGTGCCTCAGTTCTAAGCATTTTTTCTCCAGCTACCTCAGCTGCAATTATAGTCAACAAATTAAAATGATTATCGGCATCAATTATATTGATACATCAATGTGTTGCTGCCTTGCATAAGGTTTCCGGTTACATTCATATTATCACTATTGAAATTGAATATTGAAGATTATAATATAAAAATGTACAATCAACATTAAAAGAGAATCTTTTGGTTGGTTTCAAAACATATCTAGCTTAAAAATCTCTCTATGCAACACGTTTTGCATGAATGCAGTTGAGGACTATGACAAAAAATTGACATTAACACAAAGGGTACTAATGGTCGACATGTTTTGCACTGAAATGAAGCAGAATTTCTACAAACATTCTCAAAGGCAAAACAGGAATATTGTAAGTTCTTTAATTGAAATGTCATATATATTGATGATGTTCTGTTACTCAGTAACCCAGTTTTTTGGGGGTTGCTTGCAACTCATACTCCAGTAAACAATAAAAATAAATAATTGTATTGTTTGCATCCAAGTTTTGTAAGTATTTTACTGTTATAAAGTGTTTATGGGAGAAGACTTTGTACGTTTGATTAACTTGTGTTTACATATCTCAATTATTACGTACCGTTCGTTGCGTACACATAAACTGCTAAAACAGATTTTTGAGCAAGAACGAATGATATAGCAACTACAAATTTTTACGGTCAACATCACGTATTGGTTCACCAATACGATGTGTCTGAGGTCTCACCTCACTAACGGCATGTTTTCATTGTCTTAAACCTTTTGATACACATGTACAAGAACAGTTGCTCTATTCATCACCCGTGACTTGACCGACTACTTACTGTAATTTGTACTTTTTCAAAGCCAACATTAAATATTAATTAAAAACTTACAATAAATACAAAGTTAATAATAAAGTACCTCCCGCAGACTTTGATTTTCTTTTATAGCAAATCACTATCACAATAGCAATAATAACAAATAGGCAGCCCGTTGGAATTATACTTGCTATCAATATGGTTTTCATCATGTGATTATTTTCTGGAAAACATATGCAGACAAAAACAAGAAGTTACGTTTGCTAGAGTCTAAGCAAGTATTGACATATGTTAATCATTTGTATGTATTGCTAGAATACTTTTAACATAGTTTCAGAGGAGTGTTGTTATCTATTACTGAATGTTCACTCAATATATTCTCACTGACTTGAATCATCTCAATCAATTATTGTTTTGCGGACGGAATCTGAATTTGCTTAAAGATATAAATATTAACGATACATCATCATGATCAAAGGCAAAAGGTGAGTTAGTCCAGAACAGAAATACAAGCAATAATTGCATGCATTTTCACATATAATCAGACAAATGACCTTCTGGTATCACTGAATGGATACAATATTGTTATCAATACTACAAGTCGTTGTTTTGTTGAGAGGAAATCATCATCCCAATTCAATCAAGATGCATCAGATGTCAGTGAATGTACTTGAGATCCTCCCTCGGTTTGTTTAGGGTTCGTTTACGATCGGTCTTTGGGTTTTTGTAAGTAGTCATTTGCTGACTGTTGTTGTTATTTTGTCATTTTTCATTTTTCATATTTTTTACCATTATTATAAATCGATCTGTTTTCGACTTCTGTATTTTGATTCTCCTTTTGGTATCCGCCTGTTTTGTCATAATGTAATGTATCTCACATAGATTCTTTTCCAGTATTTTGTTCATAGGTTTAATTCAAAACATTCATATAATATATATAAATGGATGTTCTATTGTCAAATGCTTCAACTTGTGCTCACCTTATAACAACAGAAAAAGTGTCCCTTTAAATTAAAATCGGAGCTTCATTACACAAGCGTACTCGTCAACATTCAATTATTTTGTTTTTAAATTAGTGCCACATGCATTGGAATTGTTAAAGGAAAAGTATATTTAATTGATTTTAGGATCAAATTCATTGATTTAGTTTTATATGATGTAAGTATTGTACCTTAAAAAGTATGTGGAAGTCTGGTCATCGTGAGTAGAGTTATAGGAGAGAATAAATTCTCTTTTCGTACAGTTCGTGTAGTGTTTATATTAATTTCTTATTATCTCTTGATCTTGTGACTGTAATTTATTTAAAGACTTGACGGAAATGAAAGCGTGTGTCATTTGATAACGATCAGAATATTGAAACATGAACAAATATTAACACTCTAAATCATAAGCTTTCGTGTAAGCTGATGTGAAAATCTATGAGGAAAATGATAAATGCAGACATTGAGTGCAAAATCAAGAATAAATCAGGAATATTGTCCTTTAGAAAGAATTTTTGATTGACGTATATAATACTGATATTAGTTTGTACTCATAACAAAACAGAATGTAGCGATAACCGTTCATACACCTAACAGGTGGGAAAAGAAACTGTGTGTGTCAAATAAAACTTGACATGATGTTTGCAAAAGATTAAACATTCGAAATTCCATTTCAGGTATCATTTATTTCAAGTGTTATGAATTACTCACATGTACATTATCACCAAGTAACCAGTCCATGTCGAATCTACGATAACGAAAACCGAGATCCTTTTTTTCTTCACAACGATAAAGTTCATAAAATTTCTATGGATAAAGGAACCGTGTTCGTTTCTTCACAATGGGATTCACAATAATTCTCCAACTGCCATTGATACCACAAAAAAAGAACACTCATTGCAAATCTCGATTGAACAGAAATACACAATATCCCCCAAAATGAGGTCCAATATCATACTCCGAATGCAACAAAATGTCATTATAAGTACACCACTAGCAGGTCAATTGAAAAGAGATACGCAAAACCCCACTTAAGATTACACTTTTCCATAGCTAAGATCGAAATCATCCGTCTTCATCAGCCTCTTCTGTTCTATAAAGAAGAACAGTGCTTTCCAATTACAAACTTCAACATTTACCAATACATGATGGATTTAATTTTTTTCAACGTATATGGCTCTTTAGGATACGTTTTCAAAGTTGCAAAGTTGACCTTAGTTAAATTTGGCTATTTCTATGCATTATTTGGTCTAATAACTCTTTAACTTTTTCGGTTCTTATACATCTTTGTCTTTCAGATATTCGTCTTTCAGCGTTCATGATGAAGGTATATCCAGAAAAGCGCTTTGTACGCATGAACGCAATATATATATAGTATAACGTGTAGTTTTAATATTTTGTCAAGATGTACCGACATTGGACAGTATTTTAGAATTTTGAAACAACTATGTTTCGTTGTTTTATTTTCATATAATTGTCGTTCGACTTGATAATGATGATGGATGGCTGCTTAACGTCCAGTGGCAACTTGATATGCATATTCAGGACGAGAACATGTTGATGAAATATGAATATTTACCCTGCTTTGTACTAGACCGACACGCTGAGACGGATTTTAACATGCTAGTTCACAAGGTAACAGTCCACAGGAAGACATGTCACCTTACCCGGACACATTATTCTGACTCCGAGCCGATCAGTCTTTGCTCTTACTTCTTAATGCCGCTTGCTTAGCGGAGAAGCAGTTAATACCAATTTTAAAGTCTTTGGTTTGACCAAGCCGGGGTTCGAACCTACGACCTGCCGAACTCGAGGCTAACACGCTATCACGAGACCACCGAGGCGGTTGACTTGAAGTGTTGAATTGAGATAACTCTCATTCATTGTATAAAAATGTTCAAATTTAAGTAACATCAATCCTATTTAAATCACATGCATTTCAATGACAATTGGTGGCAATTGAATGGATTGACAAAAACAGCAAACAATACTAGTCACCGGTCAATAAAGTTGTAAAGAGTATACATTTACGAAAGGACAATATTGCTTACATCAGATATATGAGAAAAAAATGTTTTTTTCACATATTATAACTTGTCTATTGCACTAGCATCCAGTATTTAAAAAAAAAACTAATATCAATCGAAACAGTAAGATCACAATTAGGTAATGCAGAATGTATTATTCTTTCAAATAGAATATTTTTAAGTTACCGACTTTAGACTCCGAAGTACATGTCTCTGACAAGTAAGATCAACTAAAGTTTCTGTAGTAAAATCAAGCTTACAATCGGTACCACGTAGAAACAAATATTTTCCGTTGATTGTGTTGTGTATAGAAAACATAAGACAGTTATTTTTTTCCTAAAATTGCAACGATTGTAAGCCAACTACGTAGTAAAAAATCGGAAACATGAAAATAGTTTATTCAAAAGTACAATTACAAAAACACGAACTCCGAGGAAAATTCAAAACGAAAAATCCGTAATAAAATGGCAAAATCAAAAGCTCAAACACATCAAACGAATGGATAAAAAAACTGTCATAATCCTGACTTGGTACAAGCATTTTCTTATGTAGAAAATGGTGGATTAAACCTGGTTTTATAGCTAGCTAAACCTCTCACTTGTATGACAGTCGCATAAAATTCCATTATGTTGACAACGATGTGTGAACAAAACAAACAGACATAATAGGTAAAAATGTCAAAAATAGGGGTACAGCAGTCAACATTGTGGTATAATATTTATCACTTATTCAAAATTATACCTTTACAAGCTTGAAACGTCGTCAATGGTATCGGATATTCTTTAATCAAATGACAACGTATCTGCGGTTTTATGTTACAGTGGTTAACTTCACAGTTCAAGAAGACCTCGTAATAAACGCTATGTTTAACTATGGAGGAATTGGTGCATTGGTAATGTTCATTCTGAAATTCAAACAAAATAATCTCCTGCACATTTTCAATATATACAGATGGCTGTTTTTGAAAGTTTGGCTGCAACTAAAAACCAATTACAAACGGGCTATCATGTTCTAATTTTAACATCTATACTACTTAAATAACGAGGCCCAATTTTATGGTCGGCATGACGTAAAAACGACGAATCAAATAATTCAACTTTATATACATTATTTTTGTATAAATAATATAGGACAATGGTGTTGATTGAAAATTACACCATTTCAGGCCCTTTTGTTTTCCACATAATTAATATTACCCATAATTAACAAGATCTGGATCGAATCCAATTACCATACCAATCGTATACGTCACATATAGTTTCTGGTTGTAGTATATATATGTATGTTTTGTATCTTCCTCCTTTAATAGGGGCATCACCATGAGTTATGGTGTATAGGAGGACATTAAACACAGCCGTTTCGGTACTGATTTAATATGAGCATTGGCCTACCCAGTTCTCCAGGCTGGTCGTGACGGGTCTTACTACCAGAAGTAGTAAGAAAACCAGGACGGGTTCAAACAGAAAGATTTTGAAAGCAAAGAAAACTTCGCACCTCTTATAATCAGCATGGCTTTATCAGATGACAAAACGAATACTAAAAATCCAGGCTAAACATTAGGCGTAGGTACTTAAATTCAACCACGGACCCGCGATGTCGCGGGTGTGTTCTAGTAAAAATGATATATTAATAACTAATTCAATACCCAATCTTGTTGATGGCCTACTATACGGTATGTGTTTTTGAAGGCTTAACAGTTGTCTACATAGATTTAGCAATTTTCATCACATTTTTATGCACTTGTTTCTGCATTGCCCGTGTCTGTAATGACGTTTCGGGATTTAAACAAATGCAATCTACTTAGAACCAGTAAATATTTTCTTAGTCAGTGATTTCGTTACCACAAAGTAATTCATGTTTTGTTTGTCATAGGTAAGACCGGAAGATTGGTTGTATCCGGAAACATATTTTACAGGCGAAATATCACATCCTCGTTACACGTAATACGATGATAAAGTTTGAAAGTTCATAAAATAAGATACAATAGTGATTACATACATACATGTACAACATGCATTGGACCAAATTATTTTTGGACCAAATACAGGTTCTATAAGTTACGGTCTCGAATAAAGCTTTTCGAACAGTTACTGGCAACTGATTCTTGCCCTCTTAGAAAGCATGAATTTTGTATGTTCGTCAAATGATGAAGGACTGCAGCTCGGAACCATGGCGCAGCTTTCTTTTTAGAAATCAATATCAATCTGTTGTTGGTGCTTTCTTGGTGTGTCGTAAAATATCAAATTATTTCGTTAAAGCGTACAGGTGGATATACATGTAAGCAGAAACTCATTTGTTTATTATATATCGAATTACAAAAGGATATTTTGAAATCAATGTAATTTCTAGGGAATACAATTTGAAACGCTTTGGTCAAACGGTTCATGAGTTACAGCACGGACACGACTGGAAACACCATTTTTCAATCTGTCAAGTACCATAACTTCTGAACGGTGAAAGTGAAAATCGTCAATATCTAACTTGACTTCCATTGAGTCAGCAGTAACACCATATTAAAATTTGAAAAGCTTTGGTTAAACGGTTCATGATTTACAGCACGGACACGACTGGAAACACCATTTTTCAATCTTTCAAGAACATACCTCCTGCACGGTGAATGTGAAAATCGTAAATATCGAACTTGACCTCCATTTTGTCATTATTACCAACATATTAAAATTTGAAAAGATTTGGTTAAACAGTTCATGAGTTACATCACGGACACGACTGGAAACACCACTTTTCAATCTTTCAAGAACCATAACTCTTGAACGGTGAAAGTGAAAATCGTCAAAATCGAACTTGACCTCCATTGTGTCATCAGTAACAACAAATTAAAATTTGAAAAGCTTTCTTTAAGCGGTTCGTGAGTTACATCACGGACACGACTGGAAACACCATTTTTCAATCTTTCAAGAATCATAACTCCTGAACGGTGAAAGTGAAAATCGTCAATATCGAACTTGACCTCCATTGTGTCTTAGTAACAACAAATTAAAATTTGAAAATCTTTCGTCAAACGGTTAATGAGTTACATTACGGACACGACTGGAAACACCATTGTTCAATCTGTCAAGAACTATAACTCCTGAACGGTGAAATTAAAAACCGTCAATATTGAACTTGAACTCCATTTTGTAATCAGCAACAACATATTAAAATTTGAAAAGCTTCAGTTGAACGGTTCATGAGTAAATGCACGAACACTGTTTTGCAGTCGTTTTATAGCTAGCTAAACCTCTTACTTTTATGACAGTCGCATCAAATTTCATTATATTGACAACGATGTGTGAACAAAACAAACAGACAAAAAAGGTAAAAATGTCAAAAATAGGGGTACAGCAGTCAAAATTGTGTTATAATCTTTATCACTACAAAAACAAGCAAATATGTCAATAAAGACAAACAAAAATGCATATAAACAAAGCACATTAGAAAAATGAACGACAAGAATACAAAAATTTACCATAGCACAACAACACAATGACGGGATGTACACATACCGAGCCACGAACAGAAGCTGAACAGTTAAAGTAATAATTTACAAAGACAAATAAAAGAATACTATTAACACGTTATTAAGGTGATAAACAACGTCAGTACCTAGAATCTATACTTCAAGACCATCATTTGTGACGTTGATACGGAATACTTATCAACAAGTCCTTTGTATCTTCCGATGAACTTTTTTAGAAACAGGACGAGATGTTCTTTGAAATACCCCTGGTTCATCAACTTTCTGCACAGACACTGGTGACGTTTTACAAAGTCTGGGTAGCAGATGCAAGCTCTTGAATACCGAATGAATTGGGAAATGTATATCCGATATGCAGGTAAAGTTGGTATATTGCTACTAAGGTTTGGGAAATTGATAATTTCAAAATTAAAATCATCTCGTTTGTCATAGATTCTGGTACTGGGATGACAAAGTATGTCAAATTCGAGGTGTAAGTCTAAAAATGAGGCAGAGGAAGCCTTGTCTGCTGTTTCTTTAATTTCTAGTTCTGGTGGATATATTAATGGAACCAAATCAGAAAAGATTGGATTGTTAATGGAAAGAACATCATCAATATACCTGATTGTGAAATTAAACGATCTGGCTTCTTTGATCTTCTTGTTTCTGTGTCTGAAGCAACTCCGACTCATATGAAAATAAGAAGAGGTCGGCAAGTAGAGGCGCACAGTTCGTTCCCATAGGAATGCCGACAATTTATTGAAAAGGTCTTCCTCCAAATTCAACAAATATGTTGTCGATAAGAAACTCCAGCATAATGATCACTTGCTCCTATGTGTAGTATGATTTACCCTTTTGTTCAATATTAACAAAATATGCCGTTTTGTATTCAAAAGTAATAAATTTATAGCGTATGCTACCATTTTTATGTTAAAAAGCATTGTGGATTATATCTTTTATTTTTCAATGGTGGTATATAGGATTGAAAAATCAAAAGTTTTGATAGAACTAATTTCAGAGAAAGATCGAGATTTACAATTATCCAGAAGTTCTTTAGAGTTCTTTTAGAATCCACATATGGTAAATACCACTACGCGAGTAAACAGTTTCACGGTATTTCTGAAGACCCTCTTTCACTGCGGACAGAATCTTTGTCAATTTAATAGACAGTTCTTTAGTCGATCATGCAGATGAGCCGGCATTGTACCGTTGTGTGTACGGAATTTTGTGAAGCTTAGGTATCCAATACAAACAAGGTAAATCCTTCGTTTTATTCAATGTAATGTTGATTGAAGCCATGAAGGACTTATGATTCGGCAAAATCTCATCCTTGTCAAATGATATGTTTTTGTATGTGGGATTTCCTGAGTGCTAATTTATTCCTAACTCTTTTACAGGACACTCGTAGTAGTACGATTTACATACAAAGGCAATAGTATTTGAAGCTTTGTCCGCAGGAACAACGACATACGTATCGTGAAGAGATAATAGACATTTCACAGCCTTTTTGTCTCTGAAAACGGACTTTGGTCGATGATTCACACATATTTTCAACTTATGAATGCGACGTTTCATCAGAGACCTGATTGTTTTGACCCATTCTGACAACTTGTCCAGTTCAACTTCTTCTCGTTAAGCCCATACTCTAGCGTTGTCCTCAATGGAATCCATAATTATTTTGAAGTTATGGTTCCAATTAATTGTTGGGGTTGTCTGAGCATGAGATATCACCTTTCGCAGATGTTCATGTTGAATTATGTTTAGATCCCCAGTAAAAACATGGCCAGAGGGGATGTGAATATAAGGCGAGTGGGAACAGTCACATGTCATAGGTGTTTTTTTTTTAGGTTATGTTCAAAATCAACGTCTTGCAATGCTTGCTTAGTTAAATACTTAAGGTGCAATGGTTTTGGTGTAACAGTAGGATACAATAGGAACAGACTGATTTTGAAAATAAAGTGGATTTTTAGATGTTACTTCCTTGTGATGTAGAACGTTGCTTATGTTGATTGAATCAATTCCGTTATTGGTAAACTGAACAAGAAGGAATTTCCTTTTTTCCTCATGTAAAGGTTCCAATCTTACTGGTTTAAAAAGACGGAAAAGAGTTACATCACAAATTAAACTGACCAGTCTGTATATTGGAGAAAATATATTTATACATCCTTTGTCAAGTGCATAATCTCTCAAACATTTTCGAAAATTAACAGGCAGTTAAAACAGAATAGTTTTAATGTAATGTAACCCTAACAGTTGCTGAAGATGTGAAAGAAAGTCGTCAAAGCTCCTAGAGGGCGATCCAGATTTGGAAGACTTTTTTACATAAGGCCGATGGTAATGGTTTGCCCATGACTACGTGACTGTGTGTTTTAAAGTAGTATTAAATAAGCTCATTACATTTACATCACTGCAGGCTGGACTTGACAAATTTTCTACTCCGTTGATGTTATCATTGCAACCATATGACCTTGCAGTACCTAGTTCGTTTATCCAGAATTTTTTTTCTATCTTTTCGGAAATGAGTACTTAGTAAAGGGCTATTGGTGTTGTGATAAATTTTTCTCGATGATGTGTACTTTCGTAGATAAAGGATCATGGTCCGGTGATTAAAATGGTTATGAAGAACCCTGAATTGCGGATCTTTATTATCAGACCGATGATGATTCATCCTTCTACGCAAAATGTGTCGAGTTTTACCAACATAAACTAGGCCACACAAATTACATTCAATTCCGTAAACGTCATTGTCCGTGGAACAGTCCAGAGGCTCAAAAGATTTAGTATAATACGTTTTTCCTGTTAAGTTACTAGTAAAATCAGGAGTCGTGATTAACATATTACAATGTACATGTCTTGCACGTGCTCCCTTTTCCTTTTTTATGTTTACAAGAAGAAATAATTGGAGTTGATTCATTAGAAGCAGTTGTCTTTAAACAGTCGAAAATATTAATAGAACATGGTTTTAATTTATGAAAAGTATCTGAATTTTTAAAATAGTAATTACCTTCTGGCTGAACTTAATTCAAATGAGGGGTATCCCGAAGGATATTCCGCGGAACGCACAAATCAAATGCTACAGTGTTTCGTGTGGCAGAAGAGGACCTTGTAAAAGATACTTCATGATTGACATCTTTGGACATCATCTTTTTAAACTTTTTCTTACCTCTAATTTCATTATTTTGCAATACATCATTCAAGTACCAAACTGTTATTTTTTTATTATAAACTATTGATAGGGCCATTTTTTGCATGCAAAGCTCCCGTTTATTTCTGTATTAAAATTTAGATAGAGTTTACCTTCATAATGTTAGCCATGACAGTATTACAAGTTCGTTATTAAGCCAAAGAGAATATATTTACAAATTTACTTTTACAAATTTTGCCTTTGATGGAGAGTTATCTCATTGGCACTCATACCCCATATTCTTATATCTATAAAGTATGCAATCATGTAAACTTGACATACTTACCTCTAAAGCTAAATTACAATTTGGCAATGGAAAAACTTTTGCAAAATGAAGATGAATATATGTTTGGCCACTGCTAGAAGTGTTATACACAATATTTGTTGTTTCAACAGTGGGAATATCTGCAATAAAATAAAAGTCGTGTATAATGAAAAGTGAATGTGAAAGTTACCTCGACTTACAAAAAAATACCACATGCCTTGAGCAGGAGGAAATTTTCGAATTGAAATTAAAACTCAAAAAGGTGGACCTTTCTTTTGTAGATTAAAAATGAGAAATTAAGATTTTTTTTCATTTTTTTTTTCCAAATTAATTGTAACCTTACGATATAAAAAGCTTTCGTATTATACATGTACACTTGTCAACATACCGATGCACATGTATGAAGTATAGAACTACTATAATTGTACAATTTAGATATAGTGTATATAGTGTAGGTATAACTTGAACATGTTGGGTATACGCCAAATGAAAAAAAAGGAGATTGCAACTCATTGACCCAAAAAACAAAATGTCATCTAGAGGTCAACATGCAATATACAGTCTTCAACAATGATTAAGCATCTGTTGATCTCTGTTACAGAAAAGTTGTTAACAAAGATCTACAAATTATACAAAATTCCCTGGATTGTATAATGAAGAAAAACAATTGATAGCAACTGATTGGGGACGGACATTCGACCATATGGGGGGGAAAACATCTTTTTTAACATAAACACCCCCACCCCCTTTTTTCAATCTGAAGTATGTTATATCAAAAGTTGACAAAATAACGTACGATAAAAATCAATAAAGAAACAAAATCGACTATACGGTATAGAAGATATTAACCCCGCCACATTCTGTATGTGTTTGTCCAAAGTCAGTGGTTGTCGTTGGTTTCAGCCGGAAATGATTCACGTTTTGTTTAACAAGTCGGCACCTTCAATGTCTGACTATACGGTGTGGGTTTTGATCTTTGTTACAGCTTTATGGTGACCTATACTCGCTTACATCTTAGTCATTTGGACACAAACGAATACTCGTAGTTAGGGAAAGCAAGCTTCTGAATTTAAGTTTTTTGCCGTGTCGCAGTCTAAAGTCGGTGGATTTACTCCGGTCGATCCGGAATACATTTCACAAGTTAAAGTCATAAATTGCAAGATTGATGATCAAGTCAAAAACCTCCCGGACGCAGTATTTGATAACGAGTAAGGGGCCTGGTTAATGCATCACCACATCTTTTCACCTGGGTACATTAACTATTTTCTAACAACGAAGGCTCAGGTTGGAGAAAGTCCTCGAATCTCTGGGATTTTCGACACGAAAATTGTTACCACACAACCTTTCACAGGCGTTTGGCAGAGACATACAAGAACAGTACTGGTATATCACATATCATCTATATGTCTCTACGACGAACGATAATGTTTTAGAAATGCATACTTTGGGAAATTTTAGAAAAAATGTATTGATATATGATTTACATGAGGTACTAGTAAAAAAAAAACACGCAATTTGGTGGTTTTTTTTTTAATAGTACATGCATTATATAAAAGAGATGTCAGCTTTTATGTCGAAAACTCATTTTTCTGAGTACAATAAGTCACTGTACATGTATTCTCGAAATTCACAACATCTTGTTTTAAGTAACGTAAGTAACTGTTCTGCCAACCCACCTACTTTGAAGATGTTCATTAAAGATATATACACGTAGAAATATTAACATTCTTTGATTCTACTGGTTTACACTAGTTATAGAATTACAGAAAGTCAGGATCGAGTCAGATTCACATTGTATAATATAAGCGCTGGTCGTCTTAGTTGATATTTACACACTATTTGTCTTAATCTACATTGAAAAGGCATACAGATGTACAGTACATGCTTCTGTTAAAAAATCAAGTTAAGGAGTAAGAATATGGTAAGAAATTAATTGAAATGTATTATTAGGATAACAGCTGTAAGGAAAATGTATTTTCAGAGTTAGGCCAGCTGTTGTCGGGTTGGGCTAATGTGTTGCCTACGTCTTTCACTTGCAGTGAGGAATGAGCTTTAGCTTCACACTGTAAGTCCCCATGGTGTCTTTGATATTAGATATTGCAATAAAAGTGTGTTTTTTTCTTTGTTAGGATTTCTCTTTTTTTGTGTGTAGGTGATACCACTAAATTTACGTTACTCAAATATAACTGTTATTGGTTTTTAAAGATCATATAGTTGGGACTGATTGTGTTTTCATCGCCAATCACTTAATGTATACGATTTGAAAAACGATCAGCATTAAGATTATGATATATACGGTCAGCCTTCGAACATACGGTTGTAGCTACTCGGGTGGTTAATTGTAACATTTAGGTATGTGCTAATATCAACAGACCCTCAAACAACCAACAGCCTCGAACTCCGGTTTCTGTAATCGTCGATAACACAGTAATGACAGTACCTGATGTACCTGTATCCATATTGCATATTGACTTAAATTGACGTGTTGAAACCTAAGTTTGGATATTTTCAGCATAATATTTTTTTGCGTTTTCATTTTTTACCCCCCGGAAAGAGTTTAATTTCTAAATCACTTGCGTTTTTGCCTGTACTTATTTCGTAAAACTTTTTTATAAATCAATTTTTCAGCTTAATAAAACAAAGAACATTAATATGAACAAGTAATAGCTTTTCTAAAAAGCTTGCCGTTTTTTTAAGCGTGTTATGTTCAAAACAAAATTTTCGCTTTGTGGTTTCATCCATTCAGGATATTGCTCTGCATATAAATTGTAATTGGGTGATAAAAAATGAAACAGAGGAAAGGCCAATATAGTATTTTAAGGGTTACAATTTTCTTTTTGTGCTGTGGTCATTTTTAACGCCTGGAAAGAGCTTTTAAATTTCGAAATCACTTGCGTTTTTGCCTCTACTTATTTCGGATAACTTTTTTTAATTATTTTTTCGGCAGACATGCAAGTTTTACTCTTTGTTTTCTCTCTCTGTTTGAGAAAAGTATGATCAATATCTTTCAATAAAAGTCTCGATAAACAGGTGACGTATATTTTTTAGTATCTACTTGAAGTAGCTGTAGTCTACTTGAGAAAAAAATCCAGGGTGTTGTTCGGCTAAGTTTTTTTTTTTAAATAGGTCCAAAGTTGGGGTATGACACCCTATCTCACCCTTACATTAGAGTTGATAAAAAATTCCTTACATCAATACTTTTGTCCGCACTAGGTGCAAACGGAAGCTAAAGACATAGGGCCTGCTTGACCAAAATTCCAAAGTGGGGTTTAGCACTTTTTTTAAACAGATAATTAATATTTTCCTTGCATACCATACTTTGAGTACAAAGAATAAAAAGTAAGCGAAATCCACTGGTTCGGAAGTAGAATGTTTCGTCAGAACAGATTTGCCTTACAATAATATATTAAAGCACGAGCGCAACTTTCTATTCTTGTAATGTAGAAAAAATATCACTTTTCAGGAATTATTTGACAGGATACCGAGAATATGGAAAGCTATTTCACACAATGTCACAAAAATAATTTCTGATGGAAAAGTCAATACGATAACCATGTTACAAGCAATTTTGCCAGCATTTATATAATTTCATAATTATTTACGATTATATATACACTCAAATGTGACGTGTTGACTATTAAAAATTTAAAGCGTGCAGCACGCTATTTGGTATATTTTAAAGAGAATACAATTGTCTTTAAGCACTGTATCTAAACTACACCGACAAAAAATGTTTGCACTCAATGGTATCTAATATCCGGCACGGTGACGGAACATTAATAGACAGAGAAAAGGTAGGGTTCTGTTTATTTATTTGCTATTTTTATGATATCGAAGAATATATATACATTTGTACATATATAACTATTTTCTATTGTGAGATGTAATATTTTCTACAACCGTTCTAGATTAACGGAGAAATAAGTAAAAATGCATGTCAAAATGACGAATTGAGTGAACCTTGCCTCGATTTTGTTTAATATCTTGCTAAATTGGTCACATTGTACGGAAAGAAAGGTATGAAAAGAAAGATATTGACATGGAGATTGCAAAACTAGCCACTTTAAGCACCTCAATACTTGTATTTCAGTGTATAGAACGAAAGAAATGGATCATGTCAAAATGGAAGGAGCCGGTTTTGTCAATGTTGTTTACTACACAATCACCCGGTTTTGTGTATGTATATCACCCGGTTTTGTTTTGTTTTGAAACCACAAATTTATGAAAAGCAACGCTAACACGGATCTAAACATTTTCCATCGAAAGAAATTCAACATATATGTTATTGTAAAACAACTTCACTTGCGTTTTTTCAACAAAAATAAGTACTACATATTATTTATACAAGAGCGTACGCACTGACATGTAGCGACTGCTTGAATGATCGTAATTGAATCTATTTTGAAGATCTGAAGATGAATAATTTAATAAAAGTATCACATAAACTTAACATTGTTCATGAAACCAGAAAAAAAAAAGTCAAGGTCTAATGAAACCTGCCTGACGGACATGAACATATTACAATCATTAAAACCAACCCAAAAAAATACAACTTAACATTTACCAATTAATTAAGAAAATAGGTTCAAGGTCACATAAATAGTCATGTGGCCATATGAGCAAATATAGTTGACCTATTACTTATGGTATTAATAGAGATACGGACTTTTGTGTTACATATTTGTTTTTCATTATATTTTTGTACATTAATTAGGCCGTTAGTTTTCTCGTTTGAATTGTTTTACGTTTGTGATTTCGATGCCTTTTATAGCTGACTATGCGGTATGGGCTTTGCTCATTGTTGAAGGCCGTATGGTGACCTGTAGCTGTTAATTTCTGTGTCATTTGGTCTGTTGTGGAGAATTGTCTCACTGGCAATCATACCACATTTTCTTTTTTATATTGAACACGAAATGTTAACCTTGATCATGGATATCAATCATTATCAGTGTGACATTCACAGCTATTCATTTTGAAAATGAGGTCAAGGGCAATGGCCATATGACAGATAGAAACATCGTAAGATAAAAGACCTGTGTGCGAGGTTTGTTGTAGTCAGGCCTTCTAACTTCTGACATATAAAGTTTCATACAAACAGTTCAAGCCGCCACGAATTTGCATCCCTTGGTCTCGCATTTCA